ATATATAGATATATCCCAAAACACACATTAGGGTGCACATCTATAAGTAATGCATTTTAGCCAAATTAAAATACAAAAAATATTCCGCAACATTTACTAAACTGGGAACTTTTGTATTTTTTTTTTTAAAGATAAGCTATTTTTCCCTGGAGTCCTATTTTACTGGGAAGTTGGGTCAGACAGATGACCTATGAATAGTTTCAAGCTGAAAAACATGAATCTGTGTTTCTTCACTTTACATTATGACATGCACTGCTTTTCCAGGCTAGCGGAGGCGGTGTACAGTTCTCTCATGCGAAAGTAGAAAACTCATCTTATATTAGAGGTACTTTAAGGGTAACAAAGGAAGTGAAATGAAGAGCTTGTTTAAAGGCCAGTTATTCAATAAAACCTTTAATACTTAAAGCGGTAAAAAAGATCACCATCACTTAGTTGGTTTCCAAATTTGCCGTTCTAATTTTCTTTTGTTATGTATTGAAATACTCCTGTAACAAGTCAAATAAGAAAACAGAGTAATGGAACATAAGTTGATTGTCAAAACAGGACAAATGCCTTAATGCCACCAACATGCGACAAAGAAGGCCTGATGTAGCAGAATCAGGAGCTCATCTATGAAAGGAACACACGGCAGATCATATTTTACAACTGCTGTTATGCGCTTCCCCACAGCAAATCAGACTCAGTCAGATGACAGTTATAAAATGTATTTGACAATCTGTTTAAAATTGAGAAATAAAATGTTTTCAGAATGCTTGTTCATATCATTTGCTTCAGTCTTGTAATGTTCCAGCTGCTTGAGGGCCCATCCACACCAATTCCAGTGCGTTCCAGCACAGTTAGCTGCTGGGAAGCACTGGATCGCTGCTGTAAGCCTGTGTTCTGGGGCAGGAGGAGGCATGACGGTGCCATTCAAGTAAATGGCAACGCAGCCTCTATCCCCTCAGCAGTGTGACCGCCCGCACCAGAAAGGGTGCCACAGCAACGCCTGCGTTCCAGTCCGGTGCGATCGCAACAAAATAGTGCATGCAATTCATTTTTTATAAAACTCACCAAGGCGGTCTCATGAGTTTGAGGATGTTTGAAGTTGACTATTTCCAGTGATAGGTGCTTTTTCACACGGGCTACATCTGCTTCCCTTGCTGCCAGCAGCAATGAATGACCTTTGAATTCATCTAGGTAGGAAACGGAAAAAAAATATACAGTTTATTAGCAGTGTATATAGTAACTCATACAGAAAAGAAAAATATTTCAGAGCCTCCATCATCCTTATTTATCACTATCACCTTTTAAACAAGATAAATGAAGAAAAGTGCCAAACATTGTCTGATGGGCATCTGAATGGCATGCTTGCAGTCAGAATGGGACTAGGGGTGATCAGCACCCTGTACATGCTCTCCCGGGTTGAACAGTCTTGTGGGAAGAATCAATAGCCAGGTTTCTTCTTTGAGACGATTGTTTGCTCACTGCGCCGATATACAAATGAACTGGATCTTCTGTTTTCAACACCCTAAAGCAGGGCTGGACAAATCCCAGAAGTGTGGTAGCCAATGCTCCTTACAATCTTCAACAAGCACCTAACTTTTAAGGCTTTCTCTAGTTGTCAATGGAGCTGGCTTCTAAAAAGACCAAATAAAAAGCCTGCTGCCTTCTGCACATGACAAACTGGCTCCTGAATTCTCTATTAATCTGTGGCAAGGCGCTCCTGCCCTAAAGAGATACAAGAACCTTCAGTGAGCACTTCCTTTGGATTATTACTGCAACACATTTCTGTTTTAGAACTCCCTGAGAAAAGTAAGCAACCACTATGCGACAACTACTAAGCAGGAAGCAGAGCCTTGACATGTATTAAGCAAACATGACAAACCTATATACATATAGAACTACAATACTAAAAGTATTTTAAACACACAATGCAAACATTTAAATGCAAATGGTCACACGCTTACTGCAGACTTGAAACCTGACATTTCAAACATAGGAAAGTTTAAAACTAGCAAGAGTAGGCGCCTCCAACTTCGACCCCATATCAAACAGCTTCGGCCACTCCAGGTAAATATGCAAGACTATTATCAAACTCATTAAAAGAAAAAAAAAGCCGACTGGACAGTGTTGTCACAGAAATGGCAAGGGAATATGACCAAAACTCTTCGGATGTTATGGCCTCATCAGCCCACAAGCCAGTAACACATGGAAAGCTCATTGAAACAGTGAAAATGGGATCATCATTCCAGAAATAACAAAAGGACCACTGAAATCAAACAGCTTGAAGCTACGCACAGATCTAAAGTCACTGGACCTTACACGAACTTTCTTATGAACAGAACGGTTTTGTGGGACAAGTATATTGTGAAAAGTAAACCAGAGTCCCTACTTTTGCATACATTAAACCAGAAGTGGTTAAGATTGCATTAAAATGCCACACTAGCTGATAGTCAAATTCAGTACCTATAAAAAAAAAAAAAAAAACTAGTCATTTATGAATCCTGTTATACTCCCTGCTGCCAATGGTGAACAGTAATTGTAAGCAGGAGTTGCGTCAGTGGTGGTGACACACACAAAGACCATCCAATATTAATACACCAATGGAAATATCGGCCAGCACAATTTGAAAACCACTGGGGATTGACTATAATGATAAAAATGATCCAACTTACATGCTAATTGTTCCTTAAGCTGTGGTGTTGGGGCCAGATCTATTGCACTCTTGTTATGGCAGTTGAGCATGTTGGGATCTGCTCCATAACTAAGCAAGAGGGAGCATACCTCCACACGATTCTTAGATGCCGCTTCATGAAGAGGGGTGAATTGCCAGAGGTCAATTGCATTGACGCAGGCACCATGCTGAAAACAAACATTAAAAATGTTGATTATATACACACATATATGTAGTTGCCAATTATGATCAAATCCCAAATCAAAAAGGATCAATGTTTCAAAGATTGTGTGTCAAAGTACCAATTCCATTTTTCATATATAACTAAACATGTTTGTAGATAATTATACATGACACATTTAAAGGGTAATCTATTTTCCTAGCAAATGTGGGAACCTGAAATTACCCCCACATATTGGTCCTCTCAGTAAGGTTACCTTTAGGGGAGCCTCTGACCAATCCCCCTCCCCCGCTGCAGCCGGTGTATGGCACACTGTATTGCAGCCCAGTAATCTGTATATGCACTTCATATTGATCAGCATAGTCAGGTGACGGTGCTGACTAATGGCTGCTAGCGATTTGTGAGCATTATACCATATACACAGTACCGGGCAGCAATGCTGTGTACGATGTATGCAACGTACACCGGCTGCAGTGTGGAAGGGGTTCCCCCAAAAGGTATGACTACTGGGGGGCAGAGGAGACCAATTTGTGGGGGTAACTTCAGTTTCCCACATTTTCTATCTTACCGTTTTGGTAATCTCTACTTGTGATATTTACTGGACATACAAAATATGAAACTTGAGAACTATGGGGCAAGTGTTTTTACCCATAGTTCTCTTAAGGGTCACGGGAGGACGCTGTCCAGATCCACCCAGCTGCGTGAGTGACAGCTGGCTCTGCCTATCTAGAGTGACTGACAGTCATTGCTCTCTACAGGGAGATGGAGACGTGAGCGAGCGACGGTATGTGTTCGTTCACTTCCCGATCTATTGAGCCGACCTGTGACACGTTGGCTCAAACTATGAGGACGAGTGATTTTAGCTCACCTCATAGTTCTCCTTTAACATGCAGGCAGATCAAAGCAGGCGTCTAATCAAATGTTAACTTGGCTACGTTAGGAGTCTTCCTCGGATGGATAAGTAGGGTAACAAATGGGCTGAAATACTTCTCTCCTGGAGAACACCCTACTTCAGGCTTCCTTTTTGCTGGTCATTAGACCAGTTATCTAGCCTAAATCTAATAAAGTCCAACATTAACATAGCTTTAAGTTTACATTGAAGTACAGGCCCACTTTAGATGTGTTCTCACTTTTCTAGTATGTGCATTTTAATAATCAGGAGAACATAAGCATGCAAAACCTCTATGTGAAATGTTCACTGTAATCCAGCAGATGCAACAATATTAAAGAGAATTACCTTTACAAGCGACTCTGTTACTTCATAGTGGCCATATGAACAGGCATTGTGAAGTGGAACCAGATCACTAAAGGAATAAAAAATAAAAAAAACATTTGAACAAGAGTGAGATCTGTGACTGAAAGCCCATGTATTGAATACACACTACAAAATGCTCAAAATGACATCCAAGACCCGTATGAACCATGATTTTTCAAGCGCTTTAGTTATGGCCTTTGCAACATGACCAACCAATGTATACACCAGTAGAATATTTCAGGGTTAACTGTGAAAATATTCAATACATTACTAATAAAAAGGAAAAAGACTGCAACAAAATCATTCTAGAAAAAGCCAGCACACACAATAGCCTCCACTGGTCATTATTTCTAGGTCCCAGGACTTCCTCTGACTGCTGATATAAAAGCTTCCAAAATTAGTGTAATACATATGGAAGGTAACCATAAAAAAAATTCCCTCAAATAGCCGGTCATTTTCTTAATGCAAGTAACCTCTATATTTCAACAATTGCAAATGTACCAACAGAGCAATACAGACTCTTCTATGTACAACATAATGACAGAAGTATTCATGATGTCCTCAGTGAGACATTGTTTACCTGCAAGGCAAATGCAGCAAAACAAATTCGAATGTAAGCTGTACATGTATTTTCCTAACAAATCACTATTTGTACTTGACCTAAATCTCAACATCTCAGTGGACTATTCTGAATGCTGCGTCTCAATAATTAAAGCCGTCACTGCAAACAGATAAACAGAATGGCCGGAGAACTGAAAACTCTTACCATATAAAACAAGCTTGAGTACTTTGCTTATGCTGCTCTTCGCAATATGCCATTACTTCTTGTAGTTTAAAAGAACTTAAATCAGGCAATATTAAACTGGAAGCACTCAGCCCTACCTGCAACTAACAATGTTTAATGTGCAATTGTGGCTATCATTTTAGCAGTCAGTAGTAAGCACACAGGAAGCAAGGGATATCAAATACAAATCCACTTTTACTAAAACTACTACACAATTGCTCCACAAGCCTCTTTGTAACATAAAATTACCTTGCCATTTTTATCTGCAGACACTAGCAGGGTTATTCACAAAAGGGTGAAGAGTTTGGAGAGGTGAACAATCTAGGACAATATAGCTGATTTGGAAACATTCTCCAATTCATCTCACTTTCCAGTTCAGCTATGTTGTCCTAGATCAGGGGTCTCAAACGTCCGGCCCTCCAGCTGTGGTGAAACTACAAATCCCATGATGCATCTCTCTTCGGGAGTCACGTCTGTGGCTGTGAGAATCTTGCAATGCCTCATGGGATTTGTAGTTCCACCACAGCTGGAGGTTTGAGACCCCTGTCCTAGATTGTACACTTCTGCCTTCTCCAAACTCCTCACCCTTTTGTGAATAGATATGTAGGATTCTCCAAGGGTCACCACAAAGGCTACAATTTGATCACACAACCTTTGTACAATCAGCTTGAGACTAGGTTCACACCCTGGCGATTGCACAGGTGAGCTGTTTTCGCGCATTTTTGTTTGGGTGATTGAGACCCAAACCGTGTGACAACCGCCGAAATCCGCTCCTAAACTTTGTGTGCGAGAGGCGATTTCTAATGTCCGACAAATTGCAAAGGTGTGAACTGTTTCCATAGACTTGAATGGAAATTTCCGTTTTGCGAGATAAATCGCTGATGTGTTGGCGGATCAGCAAACCAGTTGCTGTGCGATTTAGCTCAGCGGCTGGTGCGAATAGGCCCTAAAAGTCGGCAAAAATAACAGTCCTGCCTCCACGCAATATAGCAAAATGAGGTGTTATATCTACCAAAAAATTATTAATGGACTTAAAAGGAATACTTATAAAACAGTTATTTTGACTTTCAATGCAGGTAAATCTTCCAGGTATGTGGTTTTAACATTACCGTTTCTTGATTTACCACCAGTGAATGTTTAGTGAAAATCACATTCACTGCTTTATAAAATTAATATGTCCGTTAGTCTTAAGAGTGATGCATCTTCTGCATAAAATTACACAAATGGTGCCAAGCTACCTATAAGGACTGGAAAACCGCATTTACAAGCATAGCTTCCGGCAAGCTCACATTTCTGGGAGCATCAGGGTATCCGGAAAAAAAAAAAAACCCCTAATACCAATTAACCTGGAGAAGGTATAAAGCTGGCATTAGGACTTGTTCAGATTACAGCTCTTAGAACTGTGTCAGTGGAAAACCATCCCTCTGTGGAGGCCTTCATTGCCATAGTATAACGTCCATGAAGTAAAATGGGAGCATGTAAAACTCTGAAGGACATTTTAGGCTGGATTACACTGCAGCGGGGCATTGATGCACATTAACGCGCAAGCAGCCCATGTATTTGAATGGGCTGCCTAACACCGAAAAAAGACACATGCACCATTTCTACGTAACACAGCTGGTAAGGTGTGTTGGGATGCCACAGAGAATGAATGATACTTCAGTGCACCAATGCCCGTCACTGCAGCGTATGAGCCCGGCCTAAATTCTATGCTGTGATGAATTACACCAATGACTAGATAGGTCCTGCATGTAAAATAGTGATGAAATGCATTCTTCCTAGACATGGTTATAACTGACAAGCGCATAAACAGCTGAAATCGTGGTCTCTAATGAATAAGCAAATGAGGATGTTCAACCATGTAGCGTAAATCACTGCACACAGAACGCAAAGGCAGTCCACAGACATTTTCCATACACATGCCTGACTGGATCACAACAGCAATACATTAAAAGCAACTCCTGATGCAGCAGTGCCCCCATAAAGAATTGGCTGAATGAGGTGTGTTGCCCTACCCTTTATCCTTGGCATGAACATCTGCTCCTTGCTGAAGTAACAGCTGTACAATTTTCACACGGTTATAGCCCGCAGCTAGGTGAAGTGGGGTTGACTGCAGGTATAGAAAAGAATATATGGTTAAAAACACACACACACACACACACACACACACACACTAAACGCCACTAATAAAACATAGCCATGTCCATTTATAAAAACTAGAGATAATAGATACCAATTATATTTTATTCTATAAAAGTGAGAACAAAACTGGGTGTAACAAATAACACAAAAACATTAATCCTTGTGAACTTTTATTAATATATCAGTTAATGTAATCATTGGTTTATGGAAATCGTAGACAAGACAGCTCACAAAACACAAGCTGTGGAATATGCTACACAGCAAACTGTAAGTTACCTTTCTTCCATCACTAGCGTGGGAGTTAACATTAAGTGGAGTGAGCAATGCCATCATTTTTTCTTCATTTCCACTCCTGCATGAAAAAAGTCCAGAAAATAAGAATTACTTAGAATATACTATTTAATGTCATTTACAGAATAAGTCCAGGAAACAGTTCTGCTGGTTTAATTTCCTGGCTGTACTGGGTGGCAAGCTTCCAGTAGTCTACTATGGGTTCAATTCTTCACATGAACCAAGAGGAATGCATCAAGCCAGCAGACTATATAGTTGAAAAAAATACATATCTACAAACAAAAACATTTTTTTTTTTATAGATAGACCAGATAGAGATATGCGTATATATAGTGTAATATAAATGGGTAAGCCGTATTAGTCCAATAGACAAGATGTCACGAAAACGTAGTATTGCAGTGTGCAATGATACCTTTCTTATCGGACTAACAAAATATATAAAAAGACAAGGTGTGTGTGTTGGAGAGGTTAAAAGGAGAACTATGGGGTCAGTGTTTTTCCCCATAGTTCTCCTTAGGGTAACGGGAGGACACAAACTAGCGTCCTCCCGTTACCCTAAGCTCAGTATACCACGAGCTACAGCTCGCGGTATACTGAGACGCCGCAGCGGATCACGTAGATGACGGGATCCGCCCAGCTGCATGAGTGACAGCTGGCTCTGCCTATCTAGAGGCAGAGCCAGCTGTACCCGCCCCCTCCCGTTCCACCAGTCAGCGCTGGCAGATCGGAACGGGGAGAGGGGAATCCAGCCCCTCCCCCTGTCACGGCAGAGAGCCGTGACAGGATCGAGAGGTGAGCGAACCCGGTATGTGTTCGCTCACCTCCCGATCTACTGAGCCGACCTGTGACAGTCTCATTGTCACAGGTCGGCTAGAACTATAAGGTGAGTGGAAATCACTCATCTCATAGTTCTCCTTTAACTCTCGAAAACTTGTCTTTTATATAATTTTGTTAGTCCAATAAGAAAGGCATCACATGATCACATACTACAATACTCAGGTTTTATACATACATACATACATACATACACACTTTCATTACATTTTATCTAAGGATACATACCGAGCACTTTCCAATAGTTCATCCATCTTGTACTCCCCTGCAGAAAAAGTAACAGTTAATTAGATTGTAAGATCTCACAAGCAGGGCCCGCCTAACCATCTTGTCTTGATTTGTATTGTAATATACTATAAAGCACTGCGCAAACTGTTGGTGCTACATAAATCCTGAATAATAATGTAACATAAGGAATTAAGCCTTTCTCTGCCAATGGCGTAAGGCATACGGCAGGACAGAACAATTTCCAGACGGCCAGGTCAGCGTGCCTTATGTCAGCTTCATTCTCATTTCTGCCATAAGCTCACGGTCGCTTCAGTGACCATTTACCTATAACAGAAGAACCCCTAGACCAGGGGTAGGCAAATTCTAGCCATCCAGCTTTGGTACAACTTTAACTCCCATTAGGCATTGCAAGACTTTTACAGCAACAGGCATGATGGGATTTTGTAGTTTCACCACAGCTGGAGGGCTTGGAGTTTGCCTATCCCTGTTCCAGACACTTCTGAGTAAGTGAACACCTGTCATCAGTTGCCGATAAGCCGCTGATCATAGCCACTCATTCAAAAATCTGACTTCCCAGCCCCCCCTCCATCTTTTTATTCTATAGGTCCTGTGCAGGTATTTTTCAAACTCTGAAAGCTGAAAGTAAAAAATGATTAAAAGAAAAAGGCAACATTTTCAAAAAATGCCTAACCACCAGTGGAGAGCAGGGCCTGGCAGTGGAAGGGAGAGTTTCAAGTATTTTCAGTGAGCACATCTTTTGAGTCACTGTTGCAGTGTGTACTTGTGACTCATTTCCCTATTCTTCCACATTTTTAGTATATTTCCACTCTGCGGATTTGCCCCTAGAGGTAGAGTAGATTAGACACTAAAATCATGCTGGGCTCTCGGATTAGCAGGTACTGAGATACAATGGTGGTCACATAGGGGGTGCATGGTTTTTCATGAGCTGAATGACTCATAGCTTCATTGAGATAAGGAAAACTAAGGTACAAGCACAGGCTGTATCACTGCAAAACAAGAAGCAAAGCCCGTGCAGAGCCTGGAACTAATTGAGGTCGCTCTGAAGTACAAACTATTACACAGAAACAAGGTTTTTAGAGCACATTGATAAATCTATTTGTATTAAGCAAATCACTTCTACTCGTACAGTTAAAAGGATGAGGCGATACATTCCATGTCAAGCAGTTAGACACATTTAGAAATGACACAATCAGCCCTAATGGGCAATGATTTTATGCAAGTTACACACATATCTTATCTAGCCATAAACTGTAAAATCTGCTGCACATAGCAAGGAAAGAAAATAAATAAATGCCAAACCATCATTACCTGTCAGCACAGTTTTAGCAGACGGATCAGACAAATCCAAAGCTGTCCGGCTGTCTGTGTTCCGAATAGTTGGATCTGCTCCATGCTGAAGTAGTACTTTGAAGAAAAGTAGACACATTTACTGAAAACATTACACAATAAGGGCTGCAACTAATGATTATTTTCATAATCGATTAGTTGGGCGATTTCTTCAATTAATCGTATACATTTTTTTAAAAAAAAAGCATCTTTATTCTAAAATAAAATACACAAATGCAATGTTGCAAACATAAAATTTACTTCAGAATAAAACTGCATGCATACTTTTTTGCAATTGCACTGGAATGCACAACATTGCAGTACTGTGCGTTCCAGTGCAGGTGTTTGGGGTGCCATTGAAGTGAATGGCACTGCAGCACACCTCCCGCAGAATTGGTTAGGCTGAAACCGAAAATGACTCGATATATATATATATCATTTTTAAAATAACTGTATTGTAAGCACATGGCGCTTGAATAGCTTCAGCCACAGAATGACAGCTGCCGGTGGCAAGATTCCACAGATTGCAGTTGAATGTAAATACAGCAGATAGTGGGCTGGTGCAATAGCAGATTGGCTATTGCACCCACCCACTGCTTGCTGTGCCCTCCTCCCAGCGTGGAGGAGAGAGCTAGGGGATCGAACCGACTAAGCGATAATAGAATAGTTGACAACTATTCTCAATCGATTGTGTATAGGGCTGCAACCAAGTAATCAATCACCCTTCCAAACCAGCAGGCCTCAACTTCATTCAAGTCAGCGACCACTCTACCACTATCTAGATATAGTACATATGACAAAAAAAAAAAAAAAAAATGTGTAATTATAATGTGCATGTAGAAGGGTGGCAACAGATGGCCTGTTAACTATCGGGACTCAAGTATTGGTTCATAGCTGTGATGCACAACCACAATGGCCAATAACTTTCAGTTTAGGGGCAGATACAAATGCAGAGTCATGATCTCAAGTCCATCTGTAAGGCTGGGCACACACCTTAAAACCCTCGCAAGACTTTTGTCTTGCGAGGGTTGTAAGGTACTTAAAAAAAAAAAAAAAACATACGATCTGCCTATCTTGGACAGGCAGATGGTACTAGCGATCATCGCAAGCCCGGGCTTCCGATGACCGAAATGCCGAACGGGCATCGTCCGGCTTTTATCTTACGAACATGCTACACACCCGCCGAAAATTGTACGATTCTCGGCGGGTTTTCGAACATGTTCGTAAGATAAAAGTCAGGGAACCTTACAGTAGTAGAGGTCGCACGGCTTCCACACACCTTACGATAATCGTACCATCGCGGCATTTCCCGCGATTATCGCAAGGTGTGTGGGCACCTTGAAACAGTGCCCTGGGTTTCATGGCTCATAGGAAACTCTGCATACAGATGTAATGCTAGATGTTTGCTTTTCAATGCTGGTAATAGTCTACCAACTTTATTCTGTACACAGATGCACAATTCATTCCGTTCAAATTTTTTGTTTCATTGTATACCTTAAACTAGAAAAATAATTTAGAATGTGCCCGTCTTTCTGCCAGCATCCAGTAAAACCCTTTTCTTAAAATGCTTCACGTGTTACTAAACCCATCAGGCAGATGTATTTCATATCCCTGGACTGCCCCGGGCAGTCTCATTGAGGTTACATTTCTCTGGATGTTGTCAGGCAACATGTAAATGTCTTTGAGCTGTAATGCCCAGGTTCTTCCCATTTACCCTATAGAGGGAGCAATAAACTGTCCTGCCAAAGAGGAAAGTGCATCAACAGTGGTCTGCACCTTCTAACAGTAGAAGTAAATTTGAGCCATCACATAAATCACACACAGATATGCTTACCTATACAGACATCTATTTTGCCCTTTATAGCGGCTTCATGGAGGGGAGTATAATTCCAATTGTCACGGGCATTAGGATCAGCGCCATGTCTCAGCAGGAGATTGACAACTTCGGCATGACCAAAAGAGCAGGCATTGTGGAGAGGGATGAGACCGCCATCGTCACGAGCGTGGACATTGGCACCATTTTGCAGTAGGTGTTCCACAACATCCTTCCGGCCAAATCCTTAAAAAGAAAAAAGTGCTTTAAGATTTGAACAGGAGAGTCTGGTGGTGTATGCTTCCTGAGGGCTTGCAGCAGATCTGGGACATACTTTTAAGAATTGCAAACAGTGTGCCTGTATATGGGGTACATTCATTTCCCTGCAGTATTACTTGTGTGTAGATCTTTACTTCAATATTGGAGCAATATAAATAATGACAATCTCTGAAAGGTTTGGCTGTAGTTTCGGCTCACTGCGGGGATCAGTGGTCCAGTTCCATTAGACTGTTATCGTGTCCTCAACCCCCCCCCCCCCCCCCCCCCCCTTTG